GCATGCGAGACATAGCGTCTGCTCTAACGTCCTTCCATACTCCATCCTTCTCATTCCTTCTTTCTCTCGAAACGATCCATTCATATATTAGGAGTTGGACGTAACAGATAGATAGAATTTTTATACCTAGACCGAGCATTCGATCTGGCATGAAGCTAACTAGTTGACAGAGAAACTGTGCGACAAAGAGCTATCGTTGTGTATGTTCCTCTCTTTTCCTCTAAAGCAACGGTGTCAACTCCTGATGACATCTCGATCATAACGCATATAATATTCTAAATAATGTCTTCAACTATATTTTATAAATATTTTTGTGGTTATTATGAAGTGTAAGAATAAATCTTAATCAGTTGTTAAATAGAGTACATTATTTACTTGGATAGGTTACTAAGACCTCGGTAGTCTAATGGCTTAGGAGGCTCGTACGGAATACAAGAGATCCGGATTCGACTCCCGGCCGAGGTAATAAATATTTTTACAATAAATTTAATTACAGTTTTTTCAGCATATTAACATCTTTGAAATATGATGCCTGTTTGAGCATCGAAATTATTAGAAATTAATTTAATTCGCGAGATTACTACAGTGGTTTAGTTGTGTTTATATAGTCCGGAAATTTTTCGGCGCGCAGTTTGTTAGACTACAAGTGTGGTATATATGTCAAGTACATATATAGCATATTTTAGTGCTTCAAAATTGAATTAATTAAGTATTTTATGATCTAGCTTCGACCGATATAAGATTCTAGTTTATCGATTGTGTTCTCACATGTACGGTCTAAAAATGAGATTATTATTGTTTAAGATTTTTGGTATTCTCAAATACGTTCCTATTCAAAGCTCACTACGTCTTTAAATATTATACTGAATAAAAATTGAATGAAAGCACCTTATAGTAGAGTTTGCCCTGCAAAATCGGTTTTTAAACTTTTTTTTACGTTAATTATTCGCTGAGTAATTACAGTTCGAATATGGGCAAAAATTTACCGAAAACAAGTGATCCCCTAATTTTTTTAACAGTGTATTTGCAAAATGAATAAATAAGTTGAGCTTGGACTCTCTTCAAAATAACAAAAACAACTAATTCAAGGCTAAGAGTCAGCGCGGAAGAGGGTGCACAATCGTTGTAATAGATATTAAAGAATTACTCCATAGATGCACTGAAGTCTTCTTTATTTAAAATCCTGTATGTTTCGATTCACTTTGGAGTCCTCTTCAGCATTCTCAAATCTCCTAACTATGTTCGTTTAGCGGTCTACCGAGGATGAGTCACTCACAAGTTGCCAAATTTGTAGTGGCTCCTCAGCAAACTTCAATCTTGTCAACTTCAATTTGAAATTGCTCGTGTTCAATTTAAAATTGCTCAATACACATATACGACACTCGAGACGCTTTAGTCGGAGAAACATCATTTTTATATAAAATAGCACAATAACTATTCTTTTGAGATAGTATTAAACTTCCAAAGCTTCATGACAAGGTTGAAGTTTGCTGAGAAGCCACTACAAATTTGGCAACTTGTGAGTGACTCATCCTCGGCAGACCGCTAAACCAACATAGTTAGGAGATTTGAGAATGCTGAAGAGGACTCCAAAGTGAGTCGAAACGTACAGGATTTTAAATAAAGAAGACTTCAGTACTATGGAGTAATTATTTCATATTTTTTATATTACAACGGTTGCACATCCCCTTCTGCGCTGACTCTCAGTAGCCTTGAATTAGTTGTCTTTATAATATTATATATACCTACAAGTTAATATTACATCATGGCCATCATGGCCGGCAACTTATCAAAATTCCGAGTGTGAAGTTTTGCTACCGGTCTCGGGGAGGGGGGGGGGCAAAAACTGTTACACATTGTATTTTACTTTTTTTTACTGAGAAGCATGTTTATTGCTGTTTACAACTGCAAACGTTGATCGACGAACTGCATTTGCGCATATAAATGTATTTACAAATTTATTTACAATTCAAATCTAAGGTTTCAGTGGTATCGCAATGAATGTGGAGGATTGCGAGGCTATTTAAGCGGCTTTGCCCCATCGTGGATCTTAAATATGTTTTCATTCTTCGTATAGTTGAAAACGAGCGCTCAGCAGTGCATGACGTTGCCGGGATTGTGAGCAAAATTCTAATTAATTTTGAATACTCACTTATCATTTCGCTCAATAGCAAATTTTTTTTTTAAAATGCCACATCTTTTAAAGTAGTTATTTTGACTTCTCTTTATTTGACAATATCAAGAAACATGTCGCGATGAAGCTTCAGTCTATCTTCCTCTAAGTCATTTTTATAAAAATTTATAATAGAAGTCGGATCACTGACTTCACCTATGATGAAATTTTCGCATATATTTAAAAATGCCGTTGTTTCGGGGTTGAATCTTTTGTTTAATGAAAAGATTAGTTGATCAGATATTTCATTAAAACTCTTTCGGTAGTATTCTTCAACAGATTTAAATACATGGACATCTGCGGTCTCGAGACGTTTCGGAGCTCTACGAGTGCGAAGCAATTTAGGTTCTTCTAAATTTAGTTCTTTTACGCCATTTGTCGTTTTTTTCCACAGGGAATCGAAACCAGATTGTCTCATTTCCACAATACACTCTAGTATAGCTTTCACTTCTTCATGTGATTTGCACAAATTTAAATCACTTTTTTGTAGTTGCACATTTATAATTTCAATTTTCTCTAATACTTAGATAGAAATTGAAACAACCTAACTCTCGTTGCGCGGACGTAGCTCGTCGGTGAATTCGGTCGGAAACGCGAGAGGTTCGTATCGGAGAAGGAAGGCACTTACAATAATATTACGCGTGCAGGTAATTTCGAAGTTAACATTTATTTAATCAAAAAGAAACGGACATGCACATAATACGTGTAATAAAAAACAATAAAAGAAAGAATTATGAACGCAAAATATAATGACGTAAAACGGACTATAATACACGCGGCTGGAAGTTGAACGCAATACAAAGATTAACGCAAAACGGCATATAATACACGCGGCTGGCATATGAACGCAGTACAACGCGAATCGGAATATAATATACGCGGCGGGAATATGAACGCAAGATAACGCGACTCGGAATATAATACACGCGGCTGGAATATGAACGCAGCGCGATGATAGCGCAGTGGCGCGCCCTAGTACTCTCACGGTGGAGCGTGATTCGCGGATGCGAGCGCGGCGCGG